CCCCAAAACCCCAAAACCCCAAAACCCCTTGACCTGAGTTTTAAAATATAGATCGAGTGTAATAATTAAAACTAATAAAATTAAACGAGATGAATGGACCAGCATTTATGAATTTTCATGCAGCGAATTCTGCTTAAGATTTTACTCACTATAATCAAAACTTTCAATAAAACTTATTGAGAGTGCATTAAGGAGACAATATGAATGAGCCAATATTCATTGATTTTAATCTTCTATGCCCTTGCGGAAAAAAATTCGACAATATTGAAAAACGAAACAATCATTAGAAATGCCATGATCCTAATAAACTCTATGTCTGCAAGAATCCAGGTTGTTACAGAGGATATTAAACTCAGGGCACCTTGAATAGACATTAAAAGAAATGTTAACTTGAAGAAAAAGAATTCAAATGTTTGACATGTGGGAAAGAATTTAAGTATAAGAGTTCACTTACTATTCACAACCGTAGACACGAGAAAATTTACTCAGTCAAATGCAATTAAAGAGGTTGTAAAAAGACATTTACAAACCTTGCTTTAAGGAATTATCACATTAAAAAAGCGCACATTATGATTCTTAAAGCAAATTAGAATGGTGAAGAGAATTAAAAGGCTATCTAATGTGACCATAAAGATTGTGGCAAAAAATTTGATACAATCAGACTCTGGGAGATCCATCATAATCGGTATTCGAAGTATTGTGCGGCATAAAAGCATAAACTTAGATCGAAATTGGGCAAGACAAAGACCAAACTTAAACAAATGAGGAAATAGAATCTTATGCTTAAGAAAATTTTATTGAAGAGTGGATAAAACTATGAGAAAGAATTAAAGAAAATGTAGAGTGATAAATTTGATATGTAAAACATCGATTAGATTTTTAGAGATGATGACTCTCCTGTTAATTTTGACTTTCAACCATCAAGCATTTCATTGAATGATTCATAAAAACCAATGAGAGGCTTATAAAGATATAATTAATAGAGATAGCAACAAAAAATTCAAGGAAATAACAACATGCTATCACTTTGTCATTTCGAAAGCAGAAACTCTTCTAATACGAGTTGAGAATAAAATCCTTAAAAATTAAATTATATTTAGGATATTATTGCTATTATTGATTTTTG